AAATATAGTTCCGAGGTACTTGAACTTCTCCACCTGCTCCACTACCTTTCCGTCAATCTGAAGAGAGCAACGGCAGGAAAACGAGAAAGCACTATGCTTTTCGTTTTAGATGCGTTCACACGCATGCCGGTCACGTTGCCTTCGGCTGCGAACCTTTCTAGGGAACACTGTAGATCAGTTTCAGAAGATGTCATTAAAATAAGGTCATCTGCAAATAGTAACTTTCTTGTCTTCACATCTTTTACACCGACACACTCTTCACCTTCGCTGCTCCTAACTGTTCTATCCATATACAACAGAAACAGGAGAGCGGACAGGACGTAGCCTTGGCGCAGACCAGTGCCAACGTTGAAGGGTTTCGACTTGACGCCATTTACTCTGACGCAGCATCTGCTATCAGAATGCAGTGACTGGATCGTCTGTAACAACTAGCCATCTATCCCGTATGCTCGCAGGCATGACCACAGAGTGTTGTGGATCCGATCATAACTTTTTCTAGGTAAACAAAACAGATGTACACCAGCTGGGCGAAGAGCAAATATTCGTCAGAGGTGCTTCGACCGGGCCGGAAGCGACGCTGCTCTTCTTGTATCTTGGAGTCAGTTATTCCGCGGCACCTCCTTTCTAGCGCCTTTGCGTAGACTTGGTCTGGCAGGCTGAAAAACGTAATGACCGTAGAATTGGAGCACTCTGTATGGTCTCCATTCTTGAATAGGGGTGCAACAACTCTCATTCTCCAGTCTGCAGATGTCTTTCCCGTAGTCATCGCAGTTTCACAGACACGAGTAAGCCAGCACGTACCTTGTTCGCCTAATGCCTTGGGCATTTCAGTGCGGATTTTATCATTTCTAGCGGTTTTTCCACTTTGCAATCTTTTCACAGTTTGTGTAATTTTATCTACGGAGATCGTAATATCCGTTCCCTGCTGCTCTACAGGCGAATCTTCCTGCGGTTACTCGGTGTTAAGGAGTTCCTCAAAGCATTCTCTGCATCGCCTAAGAACGTCATTGTCCTTGATAAAAGAGTGTCCAGACCTGCAATCTTAACAAGGAAAGATCTTCCTAAAAATATGCATAATATTACTTGTTGTGATAGACGAGGATGGAGAGTTTGTTGTGAGTAAGACATTCTTTCGTGAATACAGGTTATCGTGCAAATGCAATTTTCATGCTGAGTTCTCCTCATTTGCTCATGGGGTACAAAACTATTTATTGCGCTGAGTTTAGGCGTTGGTGCAGAAGTGACTGAAATACTTCCCTCCTGAAGAAGCGAAAGTTACATTAAAACTTTGACAAATTTTAACTCCGATGTTCTTGGGGCCCTCTCGATTAAACTGAATTAAAATTGAAATTGCTCTGACGGTTACGGTTAAATTGAAGCTACTACGTTGAATCATCACTTCGCAGCATCGTTCGACGACACACTGAAGATCATCATATCAGGTGCATTTCCGACCCAACACTTAATAAATATTATGCACAACGCAGTGCATTCAGCACGTCATTCACCATTACGAGGCATTCTTGCACTTTTCGTATAATGATTGTGTTGATACTTAACCATTTCTTGATGTTCT